AAAAAAAAAAAAAAAAAACATGCCCGAGAGAGAGAGAGAGAGAGAGAGAGAGAGAGAGAGAGAGAGAGAGAGAGAACAAAGGGTCCCCTTCACGTCAATTTGAGGGCCCTGCAGGTACCTCGAATGGCTCCTACGATATATGTGGAGTCATTGAGGGCCACTACTTCAACGAGAAGAATGGCCTCATCATGTGTGCAAGAGGTGGGGGCAGACCACCAATATATGCTGTGGATTCGAGTTCAGGGCTGTAGCTCGGCAGTTATGGGTCACCAATTCAGCTAGATCCTGTTCGTGTCTCCACGTGATTCTCAGGGCCTCCCTCCACCACTCACCAAATGTATATAATATTAGTAGAATGAATCTTCTGCTAAAACATGGAACCATACACCGCCATATGCTATGTCTTTTGTGCATGTGGTGAGTAGTTCATAAGAAAACAAAAACAAAAAAACGAGAGAGCTGCAGGCATCTTCATCCTAACCCATAACTGCCGACATGCAAGACCTGAACGCCAATCTTCATCATATATTGGTGGTCGGCTGGCCATGGAAAACACAACTTGTGATTTCTATGAAGCTTCGCGGGGCAGGTTGCGATTGGGCGACTACCCCCTTCTTGCGAACTTTCCCAACCACTGTGTGGGGTTTGCAGAAGGGAGGGGAAGGCCAGTTTCCATACCCCGCTTAACAAAAAAGTTGGAATGAGCCCTATTTCATGCTTCGCCATTTTGAAACTTTTGGGGGAAGGGCCTGTGGAAATCGAAATTCGTCAGCCCCTGCCCAAAAAAAAAAAATTGGGCCGGGGGCACAGCCGGTTTCCGAGCTCGCACGGTGAGTTTAAACCACCAGTACCTAGCGGTTGTTAAGGCCCGTGGCTCAGCCTACAGGTGTACCGAACCTTGCCGAGCCTCGAGCTACCGGTAGGTACACATCGGGGGGAAAAATATACAAAAAAAATCAAAAAAAATCGACATTCTTCTGCAAAAAAAAAAGAAATTGAAAAACAAAGATGGCCGTTCCATCTTTGGGTCAAGTGGAGAGAGAGAGAGAGAGAGAGAGAGAGAGAGAGAGAGAGAGAGAGAGAGAGAGAGATTCGAATGCATCTTGCGTGCTAAGCTGGCAAGATGCATTCGAATCGAGCTGATGGGTCGGGCCCGCTCGCATGTGAGAGAGAGAGAGAGAGAGAGAGAGAGAGAGAGAGAGAGAGAGAGAGAGAGACGGCGAGTTTGCCGCGGAGTGCCGCGGCAAACTCGCCGTGGCTCTCTCTCTCTCTCTCTCTTCTTCGCACACCAGTAATTCGCAAAACATGAATGTACAAACACGGGAAGATTCATTCCCGTTTTGCAAATTTGAAAAGAGAGAGAGAGAGAGAGAGAGAGAGAGAGAGAGAGAGAGAGAGAGAGAGATGCACGGCAAGCTGCACGGAGTGCCGCGGCATACTCGCTGTGGCTCTCTCTCTCTCTCTCTCTCTCTCTCTCTCTCTCTCTCTCTCTCTCTCTCTCTCTCTCTCTCTCGCGCGCGCGCGCGCACGCGTGCTGGCCCTTGCTTGCATGGCCCCAGCTTCGACACGCTAGATTCGAATGAATCTTGCCACGTTAGTGTGCAAGATTCATGCGAATCGAGCTCTCTCTCTCTTTCTCTCTCTCTCTCTCTCTCTTCTGTCTTTCTTTCTTCCCCCCCACCTCCCTGCCGCGCCCGTGTTTTCCCGTTGGTTTTCTTTTTCCTTTTTGATTTGCACTTCGACTGATTTTTTTTTTTTTTTTTTTTTTTTTTTTTTTTTTTTTTTTTTTTTTTTTCTTTTTTTTCTTTTTTTTCTTTTTTTTCTTTTTTTTCCTTCCGTACCCGTCGTTCACTGCGCGGACCTCGGTCCGACGCGGCGCGTTAACGGCCGCGTCGGAGAAAAATAGCTGGGAGAGGTACTGGTGGTTTAACATTTTTGCCGAGTTTGGGGCCCTAAGAAATTCCAACACCCCTACTTTTTATCTTTTTTTTTTGGACCTAATTTTTCCAGTGCGGTGCGCTTCCGTGCGCTGTGCGGTGGGGTGCGCTCGGTGCGCAATGCGTGCGCAAATCTGCGCACCGAGGTGCGCCGCAACTATGGTTTAGAGTCTTTAGACCGGTTTAAAGGGGCATGCATGGACTTCTTTTTCTATTTTATGCTTTATATTGAAAATAAATCGGCATTTAGAGATGACCCCCATCCATAAGTTGTTTGTACTATCATTTTACGACTTTACCTAGCCTACCAGCTGAGCCGCCCGGGTCACCTTGTTTCCCTGGGCTGCCCGCCCTTGCACGGACCATAGAAGGCCCCAGCAAAAAATATATATATATAAAATCTGAATTTTAATTTTTTTTTAATTATGTTCTGCAGAAAAATAAACTGAACAACTCTTTCCTCAGGGTCACATCGAAATTCTTGACGGCCAGGCAAGTGGTCCTGGGCCGCTCTGGTAGCTTTGGATTTTATTAACACATGTTTTTCTCTGGGACTTTTTTTTTCTTTTTTTATTTCATGCCGGGGCTGCCCTGCACCTTGCCCGGGATCCCCACGGGTGGGATCCAGGCAAACCCCTGGGGTCCGGGCCACCACAGACGGTAACATAGTTTCAACCAGGTCTTCAGTTCAAGTCCTGACAGACTCAATAATGTTGGTCGCTGCCACCTTTAGAAGACGGTTCACAAGCTCATCACATACCCATTGACAAATAGATTGTTGGGAAAGCAGTTCCTTCTTTTTACCACATTGCCTACTTTATTTCCTTAAACAGGTCACCAGCATTACCTTTCCAGCACCCTTCATGGGATTCCTCTCTCTGTCAGAAGCAGATGCTCCACTATTTGCACCAACTCCACTTGTTAATGCTGCAGACGTCAGGCCCAGTCCATTCTCAAGTCCATTCTGGCTTTCATCTGAAAACACTGGTGCCACCTCGGCATCTCTTTGGACACCTGAGCTCTCTGCTGCCCGCTGGCTAGATGATGGGACCAATCCACTTGCCACTTTGTTCCGGCTTTCATCTGACAAGAGCGGCACTGTCTCAGCATCTGTACAGACATTTGAACTCTCTCCCTCCTGCCGGCTAGCAACTCCCCCAAACCTCCAATTTCCAAGTTGCTGCCCATCCAACACGATCTGTGGACCATAGATTCCAGAAAGGCAAAAAAGCAATTGATTTCCCAAAAAAAAAAAAAAAGGGCAATGGATAACAAGTAGCTGCCAGTTGGTTCCATATGTGAGGCACCGACAGGAGGACAAGGAAGGATGAACAGGAGATGGAATGTCCATGAGGAAATGCGTGAGCACAGCCACGAACAGTGGTGTGAGACTGGGTCTCAGTGCATCCGTATGTATGTTTCACTGTCATACGAGTACGTACAGGACTGCACTTATGAGCACTCAATTCAAGCCGGTTGCACCGTGCAGCGTCGGAATCACAATGCAAGCATAGCAGTGCATGCATGCTTGGATGCAGCTTTCTGTTTTTCTTCCTTGTTTTTTTTTCTTTCTTCAAACAACTTCAAGGTGTTGCCCCCGCTGCATTGCATGGGGGAAGGAGGGAGCAGTCCAAGTGAAGTCTCTCTCTCTCTCTCTCTCTCTCTCTCTCTCTCTCTCTCTCTCTCTCTCTC